CGCACTCACGACCACGCCCTGGACAGGCTTGTCGAGCAGCACATAGGCCCGAGGCCCCCTCGAGCCCGACGCAATTCGACTCGGGCGCTTCCTCCCCATGTCAACGACGACCCCAGCGGCGCCGCCACGTCGGCAGGGCGAGAGGCCGCAGACCATGACCGAAAGGATGAGGGATCAGACGGACGTCGCCTTCGTCTACGGGGCCACGGGCACGCGCGTCCCAGACAGCCACACTTACGCTCGGAAGAACTGCGCAGCGCTGACCTCCCACGCGTCGACGTGGACGGCCCCCATGACAGAGGAGCCTGGACTATTTCTACGCAACAAGCGCTTTTGGCCGACCAACCTGCCGAAGAGGTTACGCCAAGTGCCGAAGGAATACCATGCGAGTTGGCACATTCCGATTCGCGCCAGCCACGGGTCGAACAACGACGGCCGCTGGCTCACTCGCGGCACGCGCACTGCGCGAGCCAGCTACCAGGAGATCAAACCGGCCAAAGCGCAATCAAGGAAGAACAGATGTGCTTCTGCGAGATGAAGGAAGCGGCGCGCCTCCTGCGCCGAGAGGGCTGGTCCGAGGCGGGGGGAGAGCCGGCGTGGCAAGCGCTTTTCTCGGCACGGAGGCTTCCGCTAGGTTCAAGCCCAGGACCGATGCCCATGCACCCTGGGATGCTGGTCCAGGCGTCGAGTGGGTCAGGCGCATCAATCGGGCACCAACGAATGGCCGACTCAGCAGTCTCAGCGGCGGCACACTTCCAGAGGGACGAGGAGTTCACGAGGAATGCAGCGGTCGCATCGCGCCGAGCAGCATCGGCGAAGCGCAAGGCCCAGATCGAAAACTCGACGGAGGCCGACACCATCAAAGGGCGCAGGGGCAGGACTAAGAGCCGAAGCCCGAGGTAGACCCGCAGGGCCAGTTCACGAAGCTGCTCCTGGAGATGGCCACTCTTATCAAGGGAGTCGCTCGCCATCAGGAGCAGCAGGGAGAGGCTTTCGCGAAGGTCAACCACACCGGGCACGAGCAGATGACGGCCTTGGTCACGATGCGCGGGGAGGCTCAGGAGGCCGCGAGGCTGGCCAGGCGTGCGCGGGGTCAGGCGGCGGCCAAGCCCGAGATAGCCATGGCCTTCGAGTCGCCAATGAAGGAGGAGGCGGCTGCGCGCGCAGCTACGTCGTCGCCGGCACCGGGGATCACGGGACCGCCCAGCCTTCGGCCTCCAGCGCAGATGGCAGCGGGTCCCACCGCACCAGCAGCGAGCTGGGCGCAAAACGGGACGACGCCGCTCCATCCTCGACGGGCTCCTCTTGAGTTGGCGGAGGAGATGCAGAAGCAGCAGGAGACGACGAAAGTAGCCGAGGCGGCCGCGCCAGAAGCCCCTCCAGCTCTCGGGGGCCCCTCGCCGCACGGAGCCAGCCTTCCCCCGGTGAACCCCAATGCGTGGTGAATCCCAATGTGTTCTACAAAGCTCAAAACCAGAAGATCGGGGACTCGCTGAATACGGCGTCCAGCCCCGAGGCCCCTCCGACAGACCCGCTCATCGCAGTCATGCCGACAGGGCCGCCCGACAAAAGCAAGGGCCAGGGCAAGAAGAAGAAGAAGACACCTCAGCAGGAGGCCGGCGAGAAGGCGCAGAAGGAGACTCAGATTCTGGGCGACCCATGGCCGAGAGGCCAGGGCAGCCAGGAAGCGAACAAGGGCGGCCAGCGGGACTAGGTTGGCACGGGGCGGGTCAGAAGAACTACGACCAGGGCAAGTGGAGCTAGATGAGCCGCCCGAGCATCGTTTCCTTAATTTTTGGGCCAAAAAGCGTCTCCCAGTCAAAATGTGCAATTTCGTTCGTGTTTCACCGTCCGACAGTCATCGTCGCCAGGTGCTGGACGCTCTCGTTCTTCTTGGAGCCAGGCCCTGACAGGGCCCAGACGTCGTCTCCGGGGAAATCGCTTCTCTCTTCCCCCAGTGGGGCATCACCATTGACATGGACGTTGGGAATGACGATGGACAAGTTGACCTTCTCAAGAAAGAAGGGAAACAGGCTCAGGCCTTTCGCAGCGGCCCGAGTGTCAAGTCCGACCTCCAGCGTCGCTGCTTCCTGGAGGTCTCTTCTCCGAGTGTGGCCCCACTTTGGGAGAAGGCAAGGGTCCGCACTCCACATAGGTATCATGCATCTCGTCACGGGATGGGACTCCAGTAAGCTCAAGGATCGGGAAACAGCTTTCAACGCCATCACCAAAGAGAAACCATGGACGGTTCTGCTTGAGCCTCCCTGCTTGGAGGTCAGTGCGATTCGGGAGCTGTTTCGGGTTCTCCCCGTGAACCGCCTGAGGAACAGGACCGAAAAAAACGTCAGGTTCTCGGGCATCCTTCATTCTGTATGGAGATAGCTCTCGTTCAGATCCAGGCAACAATGCGTTTTGCTTTTGAGCACCCCAATGGACCTAGCTCGTGGAGAGCCAATGTAGTGAAAATGGTTCGGGACATGCGCAGGGCTGTCGCGCGACACCTGTGCACCCTCCTCCTCCGCCTCCTCCTCCTCCTTTTCCTTCTCCTTCTCCTCCTCCTCCTCCTCCTCCTCCTCCTCCTCCTCCTCCTCCTCCTCCTCCTCCTCCTCCTCCTCCTCCCCCTCATCCTGCTCCTCCACCTCCTCCTCCTTCTCCTCCTCCTCCTCTTCCTCCTCCTCATTCCTGTCCTCCTGCTGCTCCTCCCTCCTTCCTCCTCCGAGACGGCATCAGGAGGAGGAGGAGGAGGAGTAGGAGGAGGAGGAGAAGTGAGAAGGGGGAGGGACTGGGGACGGGGGCCGGCGCCACGTCGAGAGCGAACCGACAAACGCACCCACGTATCGCCAGGAGGTTCGAGACGCACGACGCAGGAGGGCGATCGAGCATCCCGGCCCCTGCTTGTTGTACGGCTCCGCTGTTGTCCTCCTGACACCCCTGGAGACCTCCCGAGATGGGAAGTTGGATGCCCGTGACGCGGCCGCGCTGGCGGGAGCTGGGCCGACCCGTGCATGCCTTACCCGCGCTCGGCCCGCGCCCCGCCGGGCACGTATGGGGTCTTCCGCACGTCTGTTTGGCGTGCGTGTGCCCCTCGGCCGCGTGCCTGGAGCTCCGGCGCCATGCTTTTCTCGGCACGCGGGCCCCGCACGCGCTCTGTGGCCCCAGGGGGAGCTCCACCGAGGGCCCCAGCTGCGCTCGCATGGCAGCGCCGCGCCCCTCTTCGCTTTCTTTCTACGGTCAGGAACGTTTGCATAGCACGGAACAGAAAACCAAATAAACATAAACTTGCGGCGCTCCGCGCGGATTTCTTGGATCCGCTTGGCCCCCCTGGCGGCGCCTCCGGCGCCGCCCTTGGCGCGCGCGCTTGGGAGAGGGGTGCAGCGCAGATCCAAGAAATCCGCGCGGAGCGCCAAAACTTTATGTTTACGCCGTTTTTTCTTGTTCTAGGTCAGGAACATTTGCATAGCTCTGGGACTCCCAGATGGATTCCGAGAAGGTGGGTCGGAGGATCGCGCCGCATCGCCGACGCATCGCCGATGCAGCACGATGTGCGGCCCGATTTGCTTCACGTCGACGTCCCCAATGCATTGCCGACGTCGACGACGCATCGCCGGTGCATCACCGATGCATCGCCGATGCATCGCCGATGTATCGGCGATGCGCTGCCATCCTCGAACCCCATCTATTCGGACCCCATGTGGGAAGCCGATAATCGCGTGTCGCACCGCCGATTCTGGCCCACCGCGCCTCGGCGCGACACGCTGTCCATTTCGCGGTCCCCAGGCGTCCATGTCCCGAGCCTTTCCCGAGCCTCCCGACCCGCGGAGCGGAGGGACACGCTGTCTGCTCGCAAAGGCATAGCGTGTCGCCAGGGCCGCGGCACGCCGCACGCTCAGCAAGAGTTCCCGACCAGGTCCCCCGTTCCAGCCCGCGGAACATGACTCAAGTGCGGGGAGGTCGGCCCAACCCCACTGCCCTAGCCCCCTTTGGAACCCTCCAGATCTGCTGCGCTCACAGGAAGAGGAGGGGCAAGAGCGGGATGGCCTCCTGCCCGTTCGAGCGGATCGCCAGGTCGGCGTCGACCCTCGTACTCTGTGCACTGCTCGTCCGAAGCCGATGCGTGGGGGGGGGGCTCGAGGTTTGGAGGAATGGCGCCTCTCCTCCGGCCGCTGTCCGACGCGGCCGCGAGACACGCTTGCACGCGGGCTCACCATGCTTGGGCCACGGAGCGGTTATTGGCGGCGAACGTTTGGCATAGTTGGCAATGGGCAGCGTGTACACCCACGCCAGGTGTGATCATCGAGTCGGCATCGATCGCCGTGAAGAAGGCTGGTCCTGAAGGGGAACGGGCCCTCCAGTTCTTTCGCTAATGTTGGGCTCTCGGGGCCCTCTGGGGACCCCAAGACCTTCAAAAAGATGCTATGGATGAAAAGCTGGCCCCAGAGAAAGGCCCTTTGGATCCAGGACCCGCTTCCCTCACAGGACCCGCTTCCTTCATATCGAATCATCCCCACCACGCCCATGCAAGGCCGCGGCAGGGCAAACTAATCCCGAGCGAGCAGGGAACCGCGAGAGCCAAACCTCCTGAGCGCGCAGAAAAGCGGCTGCAAAGAAGAAGAAGAATAAGAAGAAGAAGAAGAAGAAGAAGGAGGAGGAGGAGGAGGAAGAGGAGGATACGGATAATAATGATAAGCAGGAGGAGGAGGAGGAGGAGGATGATTGAGGAAGACGAGGAGGAGGAAGAGGGATAAGGAAGCGGAGGACAAAAGAGAGGAGGCGAAAGAGGAGGAGGATAAAGAGCAGGAGGAGTAGCAGGAGGAGGAGGAGGAGGACCCAGAACCAAAAAAAGTAGATAAGGACGACAAGGAGGAGGCGGAGGATCAGGGAGAGGAGGATGACGACGACGTTTCCTTTAGGACCCGTTTCCTTCACGCCAAAGTGAGCGCGTTCGTTTTGCCTAGTCTCAAGGCGGTCAGCGCACAGACCGCCCCCGGTACTCAACCCAGGAGTGCCTCGACGGCAAGCGCGTGGAGCCGAACCCGCCCTCCTGCGAG